ATGTAAAACTGTTGGAGTTAGAATGGTTTATGTGATGGCTCACGTGGATTCGTTGTAGCGGCCATCTTGAATGGGGTCGACTACCAAACTAAATCCGGTTTACATACTTTTTGAGAGCTTTGTGAAACCTGTCAACTGGTTCATGAGATCTTTTGCTAGTTTCAAACCCACAGAAGGACAATATGAACAAAAGCATGATCGCCCTCAGTGGGCGGTAATAAAAAGTCAGTCCTGCTGTTTCATTATCCGTTGCTTTAAAAAGACTTCCCGTTTTTAAGAGTTATGAATACCAACTGCTCAACATCAGGAGCTCTATCATCCTACTTTTCCTCTCATCAGGCTTCAAATGTTTTCGGTGGATGACATGTCTGCACCGCAGACAGCCCAGGACCCGTTTACTCTGCACTGGAGTCATGTTGCTACTACACCTGCAGAGGTTCTTTTGCTGAAATAAGTTGTGCATTCCCCCTAAATATGTGTTGTTTTCACAGATGTGCAGGTTACTCAGGTCATATAAACAAACACCACACTGGATAACTGCTTTTGAACTGTACACTGATGATCGTTAAATGAGTGCCAGACGATACTCAGATGAGCTTGAGCCAAGAGTAGTGGATGTTTGTGATCTTATGAGAAGGGACGGAGCTGTAGCTGTTTTAATCAAACCTTTGACATTATGCATGATCCCATCTAATATTGTGACATCTTGCAAGATCTGATAGTATTTGGAGTGTATTCTGAGGATGACGCTAAGCTACAATCACATCAAACTTTAACATATTACATTGGCTAACATCCATCTTGACTTGTGACTTAAAAGGTTAATCAGCTGTAGTGATGTGATGCCTTTTGAGTGTTTCATTAAAAATATCTACTGATTCATGTTTTTTTCCTAACATAATGCTATGGCATTATTTGTGCAGTGGCAGAGTTGTAAAGTAATTAAGTACAAATACTTCTTTACTGTACTTAAATAGAATTTTTGGGTACTTTACTTGAGTAATTATTTTTCAGCCTACTTTTTCCTTCTACTTCTTACATTTTCACACAGTCATCTGAACTTTTTACTTCTTACATATTACATACAATCATTTTAATACGATATAGTCATTTCTGCATTTTTGGGGGGCAGGTCACCTCCTAATGAATGTCATCACATAAAATCTAACTGCTAATTTTAAATCAATACTTTTACTTTTAATACTTAAGTACAAAAATATTAGATACTTTAAGACTTTTACACAAGTAATATTCCTAAATGAGACTTCAACTTTTACCAAAGTATTTTTTTTTTTTGGTAAGATACTTGCACTTTTACTTAAGTATCACTTTGTGGTACTTTATACAACAACTGTACAGCAGAAATAGTTGTCAATGTTCCCATGATGAAAGGTTAATGTCAACCATTAATGACATAGTTTTATGCAAAAATATCATTCAATATTGAGTATTCAAAGTATGTGTTGGGCATGACTCTCAGCTACTACAACATCAAATGTTAGGTCTAAAACTGTAAAACTGACGGAGTTATAACTAATTTTGTACTTAGTAAATTCAGTTGGTTGTGGTGGCCATCTAGAATTGGGTTGACTCCAAAAGTTCATCAGTTGGAGCCACACATCCATTGATCCTTTAGTGGGAGTTTCATGAAAACCAACTGGTGCATGAGATGATTTGGTAACAGACAGTTTAAAGGAGAAAACGTGGAAACCTGTTTGTTTGCTTGTACTTCCTTTTAAACTACTTTCAGAATTTTTTTTATTGTATATTAGAAATGCCTTTACAGATAGATCAAGTTTATTCAGACTCAGAAGGCTTGGGGCCAAACTGGGCCCCTCATCATGGATCCAGTGATCCCAGGCCTGATTCTCAGGTGTATCATGGGAACACACACACCTATTTTCGCAGCACAAATGTTGGGTTGTTTATTTAAAAAATCTGCTCATTGAGCGCTTCGCAGTCCCAGACCTGAGCTCCAGTGTCAGACAGGACTGCAGCCCGGCTATACTTATCACTGCAACTGTGGGACGCACGGCACGGCACGGCACGGYGCGGCGCGGCGGGCCTTGACGCTGACAGCACGCAGTCAGCCCTATTTGGACACGGCTTCAGCGCCAGCCTGTCACCTCAAAACCAGCCGCCATTCATTCACTTTCCAAACTCTCCTCTCCCCACCACCTCAACCCCCCTTATTATTAAACCAGCCTTTACTTCCGAACCGGTCGGAACAACTTTCCACACGACTCCAGCTGCTAAACCCTTCRAGCTGAGCAGGCACTTTCAGCTTGACGCGTGCACGCACGCACGCACACACACACAGTCCTATAAACAGCAACACACGCTCACTGTGTTTTAGTGAGCGGTGAACTTATGCGCTTTTTTTATTAATAGGGCAGCACGTACCCGGCGGTCATGGCGATGTTGTAGAAAGTAAGCCATGCGGTTACGAGGGCGCTTTTCGTTCTCTTCTTGTTGTTGTTTTCCTTCTCCTCAACTGTGCCGTCCTCCTCGCTGGACGCCATGGCACCGGGGGCAGGGAGGGGAACTCAGGGAAGGGAGCTGACAGCTGGGGGGGCCTGGAAGGGAGGGGAGCAGAGGGGGGGGCATCCATCCATCTATCCGCCCACGAAAAAAACTGTCACTCTGTGGGACGAGTGCGTGGCCTGCTGGTGGGCTGGCAGACCACCTGGACCAGTATTCAGTGTTAAATTAGGGTGGTCACAGGGGTGGTGTGGCTCCGAAATGYTACACTAACAGGAAAGAGAGAAAAGAAAAAAAAACCAAACAATTAAAGTCGCCTCAGATTTAACTGTCAGTCATTTCAGAGTGGTATCAAATATTCTGTGATAGTCATTCAAATACTTAAAAATAATAAAAATAGAAAAGTACAAAGAGTTAGACTGAGGATCCAAAATGACATAATGAACAATAGCATTACTCTTAATTAGAAAAGAAAAAAATTGTATAGGTCTTCTGGAC